CTGACCCGCCCCGCTGACCCGCCCCCCGCGCCGCAGCTGACCTACCGGGACTGGCTCCGGATGGAGGCGGAGGCGCCCGCCGCGGGCGACTGTCTCTCGGCCGCCGCGCGGTGAGCGAGGGCGCCGGGGCGGGCCGGGCCGGGGCGGGCGGGCCGGGCCGGGCCGGGCGCTCACGCGGGACCCTCCAGGCGCGACTTCCAGTGCTGGGCGATCCACGAGCACTTCCTCCCCGCGCCCGCGGCGGCCGGCGGGCTGCGACGGAGACCTGGAGGCCGCCTGCGCCGCGCTGCTCGACGCGCTGCTGGACGCGCCGCTGGACGCGCCGCTGGACGCCCCCCCCAGGTCGGGCACCGGCGGGCGCGTCTGGGCAGGCGGTTCTCGGGCCGTGGGGCCCGCCCCGACGGCCGAGCGTGTGCCGCCGGCAGGGCTCCCCACGCAGACGCGGGCGCCGCGGCGGCCCCAGTCTGGGGGTGCTGGCTTGTGCCGCCCCCCCAGCCAGCGGTGAGGCCGGGACAGTCTGTCCTCCGCCATGCCCGGCTCGTGGGTCCTGCTGCCCAGGGCTTGTATTGTCCCACGAGCTCAGGGACTCAGGGGCCACCCATGGGGGCAGCTAGTGCTGAACGTCCCTGTGGACAGGCCAGGCCCTGAGGGGCGGAGTCCCAGTGGCCACGAGCAGGCCTCACACCCGGGCAGCTGAGGACACGCTGCATGGACTCACCCACAGGGTGGCGCTGGGCTCCACTCAGGCGGTGGGGAGTGCGGCCCCCACGGGAGGGTGTGGCCTGGCAGGGCCAGGGCGGCCACGGAGGGGCAGGAGACGCTCAGGTGCGCAGGAGAACTCGGGCATCCTTGCTGCATCCACTTCAGTGCAGGGAACCACGTCTGCGAGGATGGGTGGGCCTCGGCCCCCGGCGGCTGCAGTGGGAACCAGGAGCTGCTCTCCAGGCTGCAGGTGAGCCGGGCTCCCGCATGCTCTCGGCGCTCGGCCTTTAGACGTCTGTTAGCGACAAGGGCCCTCGGGTAGCCTAGTGAGAGGCCGGGGCGTCCAGGGCCAGCCCAGAGCCACGTGCTCCATGCTTGCCCGGGGACGGAGCAGGGAGCACGGTGTGCCGCGGGGCGTGACAGCTGGCCTGCCCGGCTGGCGGCTCCAAGCCCTGTGGACGTCACACTTCCCGGTATGCACATCGATTAGCCACGGGCAGCTGCGCCTGGCACACTGCAGCCGTAGGCGGCCTGGGCCCGGGGCTCTCGAGGCATCGCTGCCCGCCTCCCCACCCCCCGCAGCCGTCCGGCGCACACGCTTTGCCCACCAGGGCTCTCAGAACCACCACTAAGCCACAAAGTCCCTCACTTTGCAATAACGTCCAAATCAGAAGGCCTCCGTGGAGCCCCCTTGGGAGCCGCCAGGCCCCCAGTGAGCAAGGCTGCAGCCCTAAGGCCTTGGCTTCCAGGAGATGGCTGCAGACCTGGCCCCGGGCCGCACTCCCTCTGGGGGGCACTTCCTCCTCCCAGCGCTCCGCAGAAGGCTCCAGGCCACAGAGCCTCCCCCGGGCCGGTGGGAGGCGGCCGCCCACCTGGGGAGACAGCAGGAGCTGCTTACCTACAAGAGGTGAGACCTAGCGCCCAGCTCCCCACCCCTACCCGCCCCAGCTGCTTCCTGGAGCCCCGTGGGGAGGCTGCGCAGGCCTGGGTCAGCCTCGCCCGGCACACATGGCTGTCCAGGGAGCGGGGTGCTGGCCTGGGCTGGCTCCTAGAGTCCGCGTCGTGTCCAGCCCTTGCTCCTCTCCCTACTGCCTCCTCCCCAGGATCCTGCTGGCCCTGCCCCCGCCCTCCTCCTCAGCAGCCCCGGGCCTGGATGGCCGGCGGCTCCCAACTGTGCTGACTTCTTCCACTTGGTCAACTCTGAGCTGGTAGGGGCGCTGACCTGGGCCCGGGCTCGTGGGGGGGCTCCCCACAGTGGTCCAGGGGGCCAGTGCGGGCTCTGGGATCCAGGCAGGTGCAGCTCAGGCTGCCTCGCCCTCCTGCAACCCCTGGCTGGCCAGGCCAGTCTGTGACCACCCGTGCTCCTGGGCGCTCGGCTGGCGTCTAGATGGACATGCATTCGCCATGGCCCTGGGGCCTCTAGCAGCAGCCGGGAAGTGCCTGGGAAGGAGCGGGGCTGCCGCACTCCACCTGCATTGTGGGCTGGGGCCCCAGCTGCACAGGGCAGGTGTGGTGACCACATGCTGAGAAGGTTCCAGAATGGCATGGTGGTGGTGGACGCAGAGCCAGCGGGCTGGAGGCGGCCCCACGCCTGTCCCTGCCCCTTTTTCACTGGCGGCTTCCACCCTCCCTACAGAGGAACTTCTGCTCCCATGGAGTGGCCCTGACCTACGACCTCACCGTCCACTTCTTCCGGGTAATTCCATCCCTGGCCTCTCCCAGCTCCGTGGGCCCTGCTGCCGCTCCAGCCCGGGTCACCAGCCAGCTGCTGAGGCAGTGCCTTCTCCCCAGGGCCTCCTCCATGCCTGCGCCCAGAGCGGAGACCCTGCCCTGACCGCCGACCTGACCCTGAGGGCATGCCAGCTGAGTGCCCGCTGCTGCTGACCTCTGCTGTGGTAGGCCCAGGCCACCCCCAGCTTCATCAGAAAGCGCCGGGTGGAACCCAGCAGAGGGCACGGGGGGGTGCTGCCGGAGTGGGGACAGGGCCTTCCCCCCGAATCTCTGGGCCTCTGGTACCCACGCACCCTAACAGTGGCAGGGGGCCTTGGGCCAGGTCCCTCCCCGAGGGGTACCCTTGCCTCACCTATGGCCCGTGGTGGACAGGCCACTCGGTCAGACATGGCCACCTCCTCCCAGCCTGAGGCCTCAGGGAGCCCCAGCCCCACGCTCGTCCCTGTGAGATGTGCTGACCGTGTCATCCTCCTCAGGCATGGTGGCCGCAGCTGGAGCCTGAGCTGCGCTGTCGGTGGGCACGGTGCGCATCAGGCCCGCTGCCTCCGGAGCTGCAGCGGCTGCGGGAGGCCCAGCTTTTTGGCAGGAGGTGAGCATGGGCCGGCCGGGCCGGGGGCACTGCGTAGCCAGCCTGTGTCAGGGGCTGCCGGAGCCTCCCGGAGGGCGCTGGCCACACTGGTTCCTCTACCTGAGACCTGTGTGGGTTCCGGGCCCCTGGGGAGCAGGCCTGCCCCGACCCACCAGGAAGCCAGGCAGCAGCTCCCACAGCCACAACCCCGGAGTCCAGCTGCCGAGGGCCGTCGGCTTCAGCTGGGCCCGGGCCGGTGGTTTTCTGCCACCTTAGCCGAGCACTGACAGGGTGGAGACACCCGGCAGGGCAGCAGGTGCCCTGGCCAGACCCCGCTCAGCCCTCCGTGTGCTGAGTCCCCGTCCCCACAGCGCCCTCCTCTCAGACACAACGCCCGCCCCCGCCGGCCCTGCCTGGGTGTCCGCGGCGGCACTGCACCTGTCCATCCAGCGAGCCGGGCCCGGGAGCACGCTGCCTCAGCTGGACGCCCTGGGAGAGGAGGTGAGGCAGGGTGGGCACCGTGTCCGAGTGTCCCCAGGGCCGCACGGTCCTGCTTGCCGTGGGGGTGGGTTCCCTGCTAACTACAGCACCAGGCGGGGCTTCGTATCCACTGCCTCTCGGGCCAGGCAGGCCGGGTGTGGGGTCACTGCCCGCAGGTTCTGGGAGTCTAAAGCCCTCGAGGAGGGGCAGCTCCTCTGCACAGGTGGAGTGATCTGGGGGCGGCCTGTGGGTGGCCCCCCCAGCCGGCCCTGAGTGCCCCTTCCTTCCAGCTGCTGCTCTTCCTGTTCTTCTTCTGCGTGACCAGCCTGCTGGCCTCGCGCCTCGACCCGCAAGTGAGTCATGCCAGACGAGTGGGTCTGAGGGTCGCCACGCAGGGTGCGCGGCGGGTAGTGGGTGCGAGGCTCAGGCTGAGGCCTCCTCTGCGCACAGGCTACACTCAGTGCCCAGCAGGCCCTGGGCGTTTGCGCCGAGACCCTAAGGTGTGTGCAGAAGCGGCGGCTCCCCTGGCTGGGGCTCTTCCGGGTGACAGAGATGGGTAAGGAGGTGCTGGGCACCAGCTGGGGTCCCCAGAGGACACCAAGCCCGGGGGCATCAGGACAGGTGCAGCCAAGCCCCCAGCGCTGGAGGAGGGCAGCGTGGCACTGACACCCCATGGTCCCCGCAGACAGCAGCAACCTGGCCTGGGTCCTGCCACGACTGGCCCCAGACCAGCTCCTCCGGCTGCTGCCTCTCGCCTTCTACAGGTCAGTGGGGCAGGTGCAGGGCGGGGCTCCGCCTGGGCCCGCCTCTGGACCTCACCTCACCCGCTCTGCCGCAGCCTGCTCCCCTACTTCGACCAAGACTCCCTCGAGGGTGAAGACACCTTCCTGCCCGTGGCAGTGGACATGTACCTGAAGCTGACCTGCCTGTTTGTGTCCGGGGAGACCGGCGCGGCACCCGCTGCGGATGGTGGGAGGCAGGATCTCCAGGACGAGGCAGGTCCCAGCCAGCCAGCGAGATGTCCCCAGGGCTGCAGGCTGAGACCCGGCAGGCTGCTGACCTGGGCTCTGCTGCTGCCCTGCAGGACAGCCCCGTGGGCCTGCTGATGCAAGCGCGGCTCTTTCTGCTGCAGATGGCACCCAGGTGCCCGAGATGGAGCCGCACACAGGCGGCAGAGGTGAGCACACCCGTGCCCTGCTGAGGGGGCTGCCAGGCCCTGCTTCCCCACTCACTCTGGTCTCCTCCAGCTGCTGGCCACCTGCGGACACTGCGACCCCGAGCTGAGCGCCGCCCTCCCGAGCCGGCAGCAGGCCACCCCCGCCCCGGAGCCCAACTGTCTGACGCACCCCTCGCATTGTAAATAATTTATTACAAGCACGACGCCGAGCTCTCCTTGTGCTAAGAAGTGGGTCACAATCTCCTGACTGCTTCGGTAGGGGGAGGGGTCAGTGTTTGTGGAAACTGCCGGCCAGCACGGAGCCCGGAAGGGCCCTGAGGCGCGGGCCGAGCCCCTGGCCACTTCGCACTGGGCCAGCACGGGGGTCAGGACACACCATCATCCGCCACCACCTGGGCTGGGCCTCAGGTGGGCTCGGGCTTCACGGCCTGGCCTGGCCGCGCCCCAGGGGGCAGCGTCTTGTCCTGGGCCTGTGTCAGTGGGTGCACCATGGACATGTGCACATTGAGGTTGTGGGCCTTCTCGAACCTCCGGCCGCACTGGTCACAGGCGAAGGCCAGCTCCGTCTCGGCCTTGTGCTTGGTCATGTGGTACTTGAGGGACGCCCGCTGGCGGCACTGGAACCCGCAGACCTCGCACCTGGGGGGAGGGGGGTGAGCCAGGCCCCGCAGGAGAGGCCCCGTGCCCCGCGCCCCATGCCCACACTTACTGCAGAGGTTTGGCTCCCGAGTGGCGCATCTGGTGGACCAGGAGATGCTTGCGCTGCTTGAAGGTCTGTCCGCACTCGTCGCAGATATAGTTCCGCACCTCTGCGGGCAGATGGGGCGAAGGGCGGGGCCTCCAGGAGGCCTGAGGGATGCCCTGCATGCCTGCTGGGCTGCAGCCGCTCTCCCCACCCCGAGCACTGACAGCTGCAGACAGCTGGGGACCCCACTTCTGGGAGCATGTCAGGAGCCACACCCCAGCCCCAGCAGGGGCACGGCCCCCATAGCACGCCCCGCCCCTCAGCCCACCAGCCAGGAGTCCTTAGGGCGGCGGAGACCCGGGGAGGGCGTCCGAGCACAGCTGGGGTGCATCCAGCATGGGGGCACCGACCCGGGTGCTCTCCACTTGACTTCCACAAGTACTAGGCACAGTTGTATTTAAAGAAACAATGACCACAAAGCCCAAGGCCGGGGCCTCGCCCCCAGGGGTCTGCTGCTGGGGCACAGCCTGGGGGCCGGCACACACCTGTGTGGATGAGCTTCACGTGCCGCTGCAGGTAGCGGTCGATCATGAACACCTTGTTGCAGCCTGGGTGGGGGCAGGGCCTCTCCCGTACCTCCTCGTGGTGCTCCTTTATGTGCTTCTGGGGAGGGCAGGGACCTGAGGGCCTGGCCGCGGGCCACAACGCAGACCCCAGGAGCCACGGTGCAGGCTGCACGGGCGCCCCCTCACCTTCATACCGTCGGCCCCTCGATACACAGCGGTGCATCCCTGGTAAGGGCACTTGTAGATGGTGGGCAGCTCCTCCCTGTGGAGGCCATGCAGATGGAGGCGCACAGGCCCTGGCCCTGGGCCGCCCCCCAACCCCAGCAGGCCAGGCCCTGCCCCCACCTCTCTCCGCGCAGCTTGCTCTTCCAGCCGGGCTTGGGCCCAGGTTTCTTTCGAATTTTTGGTTCTTCAGGCTTCTTGGCGTCTTTGCTTTCACTCCTCTTACCAGAGACCCTGAAAAGAGAAAACGTTTCCGAACTAGTGTGCCTTCCATGTCCCGGGGTGCGCCCTGGGCACCCCCACCCGCACATGCAGTGGTCCAGAGATGCGTCAGGCACCGACTCTCCACCAAAATGAAAAACAAGTGAGGAAGAACCAGAACTGACCTGGGCTGGCACTCGGGCCGTGCCGCCGCGCCTTTGGGGAGCTGCGAGTGTGCGCCCTGGGCGCAGACACCCCGGGCACCTGTCAGGGCCTCCGGCCAGAGGACACCCTCAAGGGCAGGGGCCTGAGCTCACCCCCGGGGTCCGGGGCCCCACGGTCCGGCGTCCCCACAGCTACTCCAGAGGGCCTGCGGCTGCCAGGAATAGCAGCAGCCCAGCTGGACAGGAGGGAACGACGGGTTCACCGCATGCTAGGTGGAGCCAGCCCGGCCACACACACACCCCCACAGCGCAGGGGCAGCGTGGGCTCCCATGGCGGCAGGCACTGAGGCCCAGGGCACCTCCCCCCGGAGGGCGCAGGCGGCCGTAAGGACTACCAGCCTGAGACCCGAGGGCCTGCAGCCGGGGGTGCGTCCCTGCCATCCCCCACAGCAGCAACAGGTCAGCCCCAAAAACATTCCTCCTGTTTTCTGCAGAGAAAAGTCCTTAGAATTTCAAGTGCTGTGAGCCAAAAAAAACCCAAAACCGTGGGCCCCTAAGTCCTGCTACCACAACGGAGAAGGGAACTTGAGGTCGGGAGGGTGTCTGCGAGCCGTGCCTAGAGGACGACGGCTGTGCCTGCGACCCAGCAGCCGAGACGTGGCCCGGGCCACAGCTGCCCGGGCCGCGCAGTCCCCAGAAGCCAGGTGCCTGCCCAGCAGCTGTCCCACCAGAGGCCCCCAGGAAGCCCACGGACGCATGCACAGCAGTGCTCAGGGCAGCCCGCGGGAGGAGGAAACGCCCAGGACTGCAGGGGCTGTGAGGCACATTCCGGGCAGTCCTACAGCGTCGCCAGGCGCCACCCCAGACAAGCCGCGAGTCCCCCAGCCGACTGGGCCCAAGAGGGCGGCCTGTCTGGACAACGAAGCCCGGGGACAGCAGTGGCCACACCACGCAGGCCGCTTGGGCCCTGACGATGCCACAGCACGGTCCACAGGCAGGTGATGCCCCTGGCAAAGAGGCAAGTGACAAGTCCGCCTCACCTCTTGTGTGGCCAGGCCACAGCGCCACTGTACTGAGGCTGCTGCCCCGTCCCCACCCCACGGCCCCCACCAGGCTGCCCTGTGGGGTCCATCCAACTGCGATTTTCAAGGCCGGGGTTTTAGAATGAGTCCCCAGGGTGGGGCGGGGCCCCCCGCTCTGCACACCTCCTCCCACTCTCGCTGCCCACTGGCCGTGGGGACAGTCAGACGGGCCAGGGTGGCTCTGAGGTCCATGTGGATCCTCACCAGGACTCACTGCAGAGCCCGTGCTCCTCAAGGGTGTCCCCAGAGCTCATCCCCTCCCGCAGGCGGGTCTGGACACAGGCCCCTCCACGTTCTCCCCCAGGGTCTCCAGGGACATCTCTCAGAGCCGCAGGGACACCCCACCCTGAGCCCCGCTGTGGGCCAGGCCTGCTGGGCAGCGGACCTCTGGGCCAGCCCCAGACTCAGACGCAGCCTGGAGCGCAAGTAGGGGCGGGGCTCGGAGGGCAGCCGCCACAGCCCCAACACCTGCTCCCCACCTGCCACCTGCCCTGTCTGCCAAATGACCCGGCTGTGGCCTGACCCCTGTGAACGCTCAGGGACAGTACCCAAGGTGGACGCTGACCACCTGTGGCATCCAGTGCACGTGGGCAGTGCAGCCCCACCGCCCTGCCAGGACCACGCCTGCTGGGGCAGAGGGGCTGATGGAGCCCAGCGCTGCCGAGGCCGCCGCTCAGCCCGCAGGGGGCGCCAGAGCCAGACGGGGCGGGTGGGGGCTCTCTGTCTTGCCCCCCCACCTGTCCCTTGGTGACCGACCACCCCGGTGTGTGCGTGGCCGCCCCTTACTTCTTTTCTGGGTAAGGCTCGAAGGACTCGTCGGAGGACGGGGGGTTCTGCCGCTTGTCGTTTTCGTCCTCGCTCAGCAAGTCCCTGGGGCAGAGGAGAGAAGCGTCAGCGCAGCCCCGGCTGGGCAGGTCCAGCCGTCCTCGCTGCAGACGCGCGGCCTCCAGCACTGGCTTCTTCTGAGAAGGCTTGAAGGAACCTAAGCTGCCTGTGACGCCGCACCAGCAGGACGGCAGCCAGGGCAGAAGCCTCCGCAGGCGCTGGCCCTCGCGCTCCCGAGAGCCCTGACCTACAAGCCCGGGGCAGAGAGGGCGCCCGCTGCCACCTTCGTGAACGAGCTCACCCAACGGTGGGGACCAAGGGCCGACCGGGCAACGATCAGCCCGCTGAAGGGCAGTGTCTGTGACCCGTGCCCACAGCAGGAATCACGGTTCAGCATCCGCCCTTGTCCAGCCCACGCTGCCCTGAGCTCCAGGCGCGGTGGGGCCAGGCCGGGCGCGGCCGCCGTCCCAGGGCACGTGGCTGGGGGCCAAGGAGCCCACAGCCCTGCGTTCCCTCCTGCTGGGGCCCCACCTGCCGCCGCCTGCTGGGAGGAAGGGCCGGTTGGGCACCCCACGGAGACATCTGCGACCGAGCAGGCAGCAGGACGGACTGCCTCGCCCACCCTGCGCCCGCCTCTGGCGCTGGGGCAGCCAGGGGTGCGACTGAGCCGGGAATCCCTCAGTCAGCAAGGAGGAGCCTCCCACCGCTCTCCTGCCAGCCGAGGGGTGTCCGGCCAGGACAGGCGCAAGCCCCAGGACACGGGGTTTGCTCCAAGGAGGAAGTTTAGGCTGTTGAGACCCACTCTTCTCTCACCCCTCAGAAAGGTCACTGAACTCGTCTTTTACCCGATCATCCGCAGTTGGAGACGGGACCTGCTTCTCCACCAATCGCCCTGAGGAGCAAAGAGGAGGCTGGTTACCAAGGCAGCCACGCCCAGCAGAGCCCGCCCTCCAGGGAAACCTGCACCCCGCCCCCCACCCCCACCCCCGCACGGCTGGCTGAAACCCCAGCACCTGCAGCACCGCAGGCCCAGCCCTTCCGAGCTCCAGGCCATGTATGGCCGGGACGGCAGGGCCCAGGGCTGCGGGCGTCCGCACCCCGAGCACCGGAAGGTGCGTGAGGCCGCCTCGCCCATAGCTGCGCCAGCCCAACAAGGGTCAGGCCCTGGCCTCAGGCCCTGTGTCTCCCTGGCCAACAAGCAAGGGTCTGCCCACACTGGTCTCCCGGGGGTCACTAGGATGCGACCTTTGGCTGGCTCAGAGCATCTGAGACGAGGCCGCCTCCTCCCCAAGCCCCACGATGAGGCCCACCCCACGCCCTCGCCGACACGGGCCTCAGTCGCCAGCCCTCATGGACCGCTCCCCAGAACCCAGCAGCTCCCCCTGGGGTCTTGCCTGGCTCAGGATGGGGTCCTGCTCTGCGAGGCCAGAGTAGCCTCCTACCTGGGGTCCCCCTTGGGGGGTGGCTGGGCTGAGGCGGGGGGCCAGGCCCAGGCCCCACGGGGTTGCCATCCGAAGGCGGCTGCGCCAGGTCCGAGCCGGGCAGCATCTCTGTCTGGGCCTCGGGCCCGGCCCCGGCTGCTCTGCCCTGGCCGACCTGTGGGGTGGCCCCCGCAGGGGCGGATCCCCGATGCTGGGCCTCCTTATCCCACGCCCACTGGACGGCCGGGTGGCTGCCCCGCCAGCGGGCCCCACAGCTGGCCTCAGCATCCATGGTGTAGTCGTGGCCCCGGTCACAGCCCCACACAGCCCGGACGATGCCGCAGTACTCGGAGGATAGCGTGCGCTGGAGGCTGGGCAGGGCCCCGCAGCTGGCCGCATGTCCGTGCACCCACCCCACCAAGCCGTGCAGGCCCTGGGTGCTCGGGCTAGTCAGGTCCACTGGGGAGAGGCACAGAGAGCCGGCCGGGCCGGTCAGCACCCCCGCCGCATTGCCGCCCCCCACCCCCGCAGCCAGGGGCACACTCACCCAGACGCGCTCCCTCCTCCGAGCCTGCCAGGGGGTGGGCGCCGACCCTGCAGAGAAGGCAGGGGCAGGGCTAGGGGGCAGGCGAGAGGCCCAGGCCCTCCGGCTGCGAGCAGGTGTTCAGTCCACTTAGGAGGCCCTTCCTGGACGTGCCTCCCGGGAGCCATCCCCACAGGGCGCCGCAGCCCCCCACCGGATGCTCACTAGGTGTGCCCACCCCAGAAGCGCCCAGCCGCAGGCAGGTGACCTACTGTGCGCACGGCTTCCGGGGGCGCGATGGTGAGGTGTTGACCCTCTGCAGGAAGGACGTGAGGAGGCCGTGGCACTGGTAGAACTGGGCATGGCAGTTCTTGCAGACGAACGGGGACAGCGCAGGGTCCTGGCGGACGGCCACCCCCAGCAGACACTGGAAGTCCCTGACGAAGACCCGGCTCCCGGAGGAGGGCCTCTCCGCACTGTCCCCAGGCGCCCTCCCGGAGATGTCCCGCAGGCTCCGCGCGGAGAACTTGCCGTGGCACAGGCGGCAGTGCCCCATGGCCAGAGGTCGGCCGGGCCCTGAGCAAGCACAGAGACGGGCGGTCTGCGGGGAGACAAGCCTGCAGGCCTCCCCAGGCCCCACCCTCCAGCGGCTGCACCGGACCGAGGCAGGCGCTAGGCTCCAGGCGAACCGCTGCTCCCGGGGGCTGCAGCCTGTGAAGGTGCTTCTGGTCCAGAAAACCTTCCTCAGAACCCAGCAGGGCCGGTACAACCCAGACTAGCACCTGAGGGACATGGGCTGGGACCCGCACAGGGGCCGGGAGCCCAGCTCAGTGCGCGGCAAGAGGCTCACCCCAGCACGAGGCACTCGGGCCCACCACACCACGGAGAGCCGGGACCTGCCCGCCCCACGGCCCCAAGACAGTGTCACCACCATGATGCCCACAGGCCCGGCCTCAGAGCCAGCACCATGGTTGTGGTGACTGCCGAGAGCATTTCCTCTAAGGTCAGCAGCAGGACAAGGTGCCCGCTCTTGCTGCTCTGCTCAACACCGTGCAAAAGCCCACGGTCGCTTTTCACAAACACTGAAAAAACTAAGGAACGCGCACAGACCCGCACAGACCCTGCCCAGCCAAGGCAGCCGCGAGAACGTGCCAAGCTGGAGCGGCCATGTTCCGGATCTCAGACCACGCACGGTACAGACCTGCTGTGCCCACAACAGCGCGGCGCTGGCATGAAAACAGAGATGGAAACCAATGCAGAAGGACAGGCAAGTCGGAAATAACCCCCACACGGCCGGTCAGTCCACGGCCAGAGCCCAGGACACACGGGGGAGCGCTGTGGCGGGCCAGAGGGCGGGCCGGGAGACGCCATCACACCAGACCAAGTGAGACGGGATTAAAGACTTGAATGCGAGCCCTGAGCCCACGAAGCTCCTGCAGGAAGCAAACTCCTTGACTTCAGTCTGGAGACGAGTTTTTGGATTTGACACCAAAGACACAAAAACAAAAACAAATGAGCGGGACGACAACCAAGCAGGAGGTTCTGCACAGCATGGGGACAGCCAGCAGGACGGACAACAGCTGGCTGCACGAGAAGCACCTGTGAGCCCACGTCTGATGGGGCGGACACCCTAACGCAAACACCCCGGGGGCAGAGACAGGACAAGACCACGCCACAAATCTGGCCCAGGGAACTGCAGGTCCAGCCACGGCGAAGGAGCAGAGAGGCAGCGAGGCCGGGCGGGCAGGCGGAGTGGAGCAGCCGCTGTGGAGGACGCGGAGTCCTCCCAAAACCGAAGACAGAACCGCCAGCGAATCCAGCAGCTCCACTTCCAGGCCTTTATCCAAAGGAGATGAGACGCGAACTCGCAAAGACAAACGGAGCCGGGGCGCGGGGTCACGGGGGGCAGCGTCCGGCTGAGCCGCAGCGGGGCGTGGGGGCATGGGGCGCACACCTGACTGAACAACACAGCCTCCCCGGTGGCGCAGTGATTGAGCGCTGGGTTGCGAAGGTGCCCGCAGCCTCTGCGGCGCCGGTTTGATCCCCGGCTGCTCCCCGGCCACCAGAGGAGGGTCCACATGGTGCGCAGACCTCTCCTGCCGCCCGCTGCTCCCCTCAGCAGTGTCCTTCGGTCCTTCTGCCTGCTCTGCTCCCCGCTCTGGCTCTGGTGAATTCTCTCACCCTCCCGCGCTTCTGACTGTGCCCAGTGCTTGCATGTATAAACAAACAAACAGACAAATACATAAATCTTTAAAAAAAAAAAAATAATAATAATCTCATGCCTTTTGAAGCAAAGATGGTCAGAGCAGGCAGGGATTACGTTAAGTGAGACTAACCAGAAAGAGATAAAGGCTGGATAACGTGCCGCTTTCTGGGGAGATGCAGAAAACGGAAGGGCCAGACAAACTTTAATACCAACCAGGGAAACTGATCACAGATCTCCAGCCTTCAGAGGGGCAGGGTGGGGGGGGGAGCAGGGAGAGAAGCGCAGGGGGTGCTCCAGCGGTGGGGTGCTGCGGCGACTACCTGGGGTGGGGCTGGACTCTGAGACGCCAGCGAGGATGTAAACACTCAGCTCAACACCATGTGAAGAGAGAGATCTGCAGCACAGGGCGCCAGGAGACGGGAGAAGCACAGAAAGTTTATTAGACAATTGCAAAAAAATCACCTCAATCCAGGAAATGAACCAAAGGGCCTGACCCAAGAGGCCCCAAGAGTTTCTAACGAGGTAAGAGACCCACACGCTCAAAGATGCGTACTGCTGCTGACAGCCAGTGACAGGAACACTGGTGTCGAGAGAGAACAGTGACCTGTAAGGGGTCACCTACTAGACTGCCCAGGGCCTGGCAGCAGGACCTCGCGGGAAAGCAAGGAGCGGCGGGGGGCTCAGAGGACAGCCTCCATGCGGGCATGCTGTCCTGCAGCACGTCACCCAGATAGGGCAAGGAGCAGAGAGGACATGGCGCCCTCGCAGCACCGCCTCCCAGGACAGCAGCACCCAAGGGCCACGTGAGGCAGGGACAGGACGCACCCCGAGCACCACACGCTCATGCCCCACAACACGCAGGGCAGCGTGGACACGCGGTGCAGAGTCTGAGGTCAGACCATGGAACAGGCCACGGGCAGACTGTCAAGTGAGATGTTCAAGCAAAAACCAGCAGAAGTAACACATAGGACAGAAACAGACCCCCAAAAACAAACATGAAAGATGTCAAAGAGGAAGCAAAGCTAAACAGCCAGGAGGCAGAGTCACCTTAACAGTAAACAGCTTGATTCTGTCAAGGGAAAGGCCTAGAGGAGCAGAATGTATTTCAAAACAAAGTCCCACCTTCCACTGTTTACAAGAAACCCATTTTTGCTATCACGGGCAAGGAGAAACTTAGAAGCTGGAACAAGTGGTTGCTTTTAAGTCCACATGGAATAGTCTAAGAATAAATCATCTGTTGGGACAGAAGTCAATTGTCAACAAAACTACGAAGACTGAGATCATACCAAATACTCTACTCTCTGACCGTAATGCCATTACCTAGAAATTACGTATCTTAAAAAAAAAAAGGAAAAGTCTTGGGCCTCCCCGGTGGCGCAGCAGTTAAGCGCTGGGTTGCGAAGCTGCCTGCGGCCTCTGCAGTGCCGGTTCGATCCCCGGCTGCTCCCCGGCCACCGGAGGAGGGTCCCGCATGGCGCGCGGACCCCTCCTGCCGCCCGCTGCTCCCCTCAGCAGTGTGCTTCGGTCCTTCTGCCTGCTCTGCTCCCCGCTCTGGCTCTGGTGAATTCTCTCACCCTCCTGCGCTTCTGACTATACCCAGTGCTTGTATAAACAAAACAAGCAAACAAATAAATAAATAAAACATGCCTCTATTAAAAAAAAAAAAAAGGAAAAGTCTTAAATACATGGAGATTAAGCAACACACAACTTAATAGCTACTGGATTAGGGCCTCCCCTGGTGGCGCAGCACTTGAGCGCTGGGTTGTGAAGCTGCCCGCAGCCTCTGCAGCGCCACTTCAATCCCCGGCCGCCGGGCAAGGGTCCCACATGGCACGCAGACCTCTCCTGCCGCCCGCTGCTCCCCTCAGCAGTGTGCTTCGGTCCTTCTGCCTGCTCTGCTCCCCGCTCTGGCTCTGAATTCTCTCACCCTCCCGTACTTCTGACTGTACCCAGTGCTTGTATAAATAAATAAAATAAATCATTAAAAAAAAAAGCTACTGGATTAGAGAAAAATTAAACCAGAAGTCAAAAAAAGCTCAAGATGCACAAAAATGAGGATAGAAGCTACCAGAATCTACTGGACACAGCAAGCACAGACTTAGAGGGGAAATAACTGCAGTCCAGGCCCACGTTAATGAGCAAGAAGAACCCCAAACACTGCAGCATCACACTTACAGGAAACTGAAAAGCAAGACCCAAAACAAGTGGAAGAAACAGAAGAGTAAATAAACGAACAGAAGCAAACTGCTGGGCGTCACTCTCAGGACAGGGGACACAGTTCCATCATGAGGAGAGGGGGGTTCACGCTGGCAAAGAGGGACACACAGAGGTCCCGGCGAATGCTGCAAAAGGTTCGCGAGAGACTGTGGAACTGTTGGTGGGGTGTGCACTGGTGGAGCCATTCTGAAAAGCAAACTGGACTCATCTTAAAAAGGCAAACAGGGGCCTTCCCTGGTGGCGCAGCGGTTGAGCACTGGCTGCAGCACTGGTTCGTTCCCCTGCCGCCGGCCAGGGTCCCACAAAAAAAAAAAAGGCAAACAGGGGGCTCCCTGGTGGCACAGGGGTGAGTCTCGGCGCTGTGAAGCTGCCCCAGGCACTGCAGCACGATTGCGATCCCCGGCCAGGAAGCTACCCACATGGCGCAGCAGACCTCTCCTGCCTTCCTGCTGCTCCCCTCAGCAGTGGGTTCTGAGAGTGCTCCCCACTTTGGTGAATCCTCTCACTCCTGCACTTCTGGCCTGCACCTCAGTTCTTGTATGCATAAATAATCTTTAAAAAAAAAAAAGGGGGAACATGCAGCAGCCCAGATTGGGTGACCTTCGCAGGGACTGCTGGGGCCACTGCTCCAGCCTCCAGACTGCCCATGTGTCCACGCAGGCGTCTCGTTCCTTCGCGCTCGTCCTCAATGGGCTAACCCTGTGCTGACCAGTGGGAATGTCTGCTGAATTGTCTCAGAGGGACCCTCGGCCCCTGCTCAAAAAAAAAGAACTCAGCTCTCAACTGCAGCTATTCCCCGGGCCCAGGTCGGAGGGCTGGGCGGAGCAGCGGGGGTCCCCCAAAGACGGGGCGCTGTTCGCTGGTAAAGACGAAATGCTGCGCTTACACTCAAGTGGAAGGCGTTCAAGGAAAAACATGCAGTCAACCAAGCCAGAATGACAAAAGCAAACTTGGAAATTCCTATCTCAGACAGTGTGATAAAACCAAACCCCAAACCAGCGGACACTACTGTGAGGAGGACGGAGGGTCGTGGAGGGTCGTGGAGGTCTGAAGGGTGCTGGCAGGAAACGCGCGCGTTACAGACACCGTCAGGGAGGAAAGCCAGGGCCTTTTATAGTGCACTTCGCCTTCACATTTCCCTTGGCGTCGCCTCTAAAGCCAGGCAGATGGAACGCGTCTCGAATGAGGGAGCGCTGTCCTGCCTGGCGGAACTCCCGAGCCGTAAGTCAGCTTTTTTTTTTAAGATTTACTTATTTATGCCTGCAAGAGCTGGGGTGCGGGCCAGAGGCGCGGGGTGAGAGGACACCCCACAGCCAGAGTGGCGAGCACAGCAGGGGATCCGCCGCCCTGGGGGTCGCTCCGGGCCGGGAGCGCCCAGGCCGCAGGGGCTGACCCCTGCGCCCCCAGGGCGGCGCCCCGCGTCCACGGTCTCCCTCACGGTGATGCACCGCGAGCAGATTCTCCGCTGTGCGGCCGCGCGCCGGGAGGACGCCCACCGCGGCCGTCCCCGCCGCGCCCCGGCGCAGGGTCTGCGGCCCGGCACGGAGGGCCACGCGGAGGGGGGCGCGGGCCTGCGCGCACCTCCCCGCCGGGCGCGGCCGACGCTCGGCAACTCCGAGGCGCGAGGCGCGCCCGCACCCGCGCCCGCCCGGCGGGGGCTGCCCGCGCCCCGGGGAGCCCCCCAGGCGCGGGGCCTCCAGGGGGCGGGAGCGCCGGCCGCGCGCCCGGGCCGAGGGCCTCTCCGGCGGCGGGACCCACCCGGGCGCGCGGCCGCCGGGCTCGGCCTCCCCCGACCTCCGCGGGGGGCGGCGCCCCGACGCCGCGCACGGGCGCTCGCCCCGGCCTCGCGGGGCCGTCACCGGCCGCCCCCGCCGCCCCCGCCGCCCAGGCCCCGGCGCCGACCCACCTGGCCCGTCCGCGCCGGCCTCGCCCGCGGCCCCGCGGGCCCGCGCCGCGCCCCAGCCCAGCCGCGCCGCCGCCACCAGGGCCGCCGCCTCGGCCTCGCTCGGCCCCACGCCGCGCCCCGGGCGGCCCCGGGTCCGGCCGCCGCCCGCGCCCCCGCGCCGCCCCGCCGCCCCGGGCGACAGGAAGCGACCGAGCCGGTCCCGCTTCATGGCGACGCGACAGCCCGGGCCCGCTCGGCTCGGCTCGGCTCGGCCCGCTCGGCTCGGCTCGGCTCGGCTCGGGCCCGCTCGGCTCGGCTCGGCTCGGGCCCGCTCGGCTCGGCTCGGGCCCGCTCGGCTCGGCTCGGGCCCGCTCGGCTCGGCTCGGCTCGGCCCGCTCGGCTCGGGCCCGCTCGGCTCGGCTCGGCTCGGGCCCGCTCGGCTCGGCTCGGGCCCGCCCCACTCAGCTCCGCCCCGCCCCGCTCGGCTCGGCCCTGCTCGGCCCCGCCCCACTTAGCTCGGCCCGGCTCAGCTCAGCTCGGCCCCGCCCTACTCGGCTCCGCCCCGCCCCGCTCGGCTCGGCCCCGCTCGGCGCGGCCCCGCCCTACTCGGCTCGGCCCGGCTCGGCCCCGCTCGGCCTTCTTGACTCGGCTTAACTCGGTCCCTCTCGGCTCGCTGGGCCCGGAGCTCCGGGCTCGGCGGTCCCCCCTCTCTCCCGCCGCTCGGCTCCGCTCCGGACGGAGCAAAATGGGCGGGGCGGCGTGACGTGACAAGGGGCGGGGCGAAGGGGCGGGGCGGCGAGGGGCGGGGCGGCGAGGGGGGGCGGGCGGCAAGGGGCGGGATGAGGAAGAGGGCCCGGGAGGGAGAGGGAGGGGCCGGGGCCGAGGGGGGGAGGGGCGGGGCCCCGCCGCCTAGCGAGGGCCCGGTCGCCGCACTTACGCGCTCGCGGCACGTGCGTGACGAGGGACGCGACGGGCGCGCCGCCCCACTCTGCCCGCCGTCCGGCGCCGAGCTCCGCGCGGCGAGGCGGGGCCGCCGGAAGTGCGTCTCGCTCGGGTCCGCGGCTTCCGGCGGTCCGCGGCCCGGGCGCCCCCCGCGCCCGCACCCCGCGTTCCGCCCGGGCCGCGCGCCCCGCCCTGGGCCGCCGCCGCCTCCCCGCCGGCGCCATGGCCGCTGCGGCCGGGGACGGCGCCGCGAGGCCGCTGCAGGGCGCCATGAAGCTGGCCAACGGGGCCATCGAGCTGGACGCCGGCAGCCGGCCCCGGGTGAGGCGCGCGCCCGGCGCAGGGCCCCGCCGCCACCGCGGACAGCGCCCGCCCGCCGCCCGCCCGCCGCCCTCTCCGTGCGCGCCCGGCTGCCCCGCGCCGGGACCCCGCGCCCGCGCCCGCGCCCGGAGGGTCGTCTGGCAGGGGCCCCGGGCGGAGGCGGGCCAGTCCCTGCGGGCAGGCTCCGGGCGGCGCCCATGCCCGAGCCCGGCGCGCCCCGGGGTCCCGCGACGGCCCCGCGCTCTGGGCGTCAGGCCCGCGGTGACCGCCGAGGAAACGTTTTCTTAACTGCAGTGAATAAATCGCCCTTGAGCTGCACAGGAAGGAAACGTGGGGTAAACCAGAGCAAGTGCCAGGGCTGCCTCCCCAGGCCCACTGAATGAGCAAGGCAGTGAGGGGGGCTCTTCTCCTGCAGGCCCAAGGGCCCAGGCCCCACGTCCCTGATCAGACCTGGACCGGTGACTCGCTGACCGGCCCACCGTGCAGGCTGGAGAGCCCACCCTCCCTGTCTCCCGTGGGCGGGGGGGCGTCTGCCTCCACTGACTGGCCTCTGCCATCTCTCTCCCCTGGGCACAGGAAGCATATACTGAATACCTGAGGAGCATCCACTACATCTCCCAGGTGCTACTGGAAGAAGTGGAAACCACCAAAGGTACAGCTCTCAGCATCGCTGCAGCCGCAGCCACCCGCCATTGCTGGGCAGAGTGTGCAGAGCAAAGCCCTTTGTGGGTCCCAAGCCGAGGGTGTCCCCAGGCACGACTGTCACTGACAACACAGGGCAGGAAGGGAGCGGGGAGGCAGCTCCTCCAGCATGCGCCTGCTGACAGTGAAGACAGAACAGAAAGCCTGGGAGGCGGGGGTCAGAGGGTATGGGGAGGGCCTGGAGCTCTGTCTGTGCAGTCAGCTGCCCTGCCCACCTCAATGAGGGTCTGTAGGTGAGACTGAGCCCTCAGTGAGGGAGAGCGGGCTCTGGTGGTCAAGATGAGGTGACAAGACAGATGCTGGGCTGGCCAATGCCAGGGACCACACAGGGCCAGCAGGTAAACCAGGCAGATGGCCGGAGAAGGGGCGGGCTCACTAACGTCTTCACTTCCTTGCATTTATCTTGGCAAGAGTCTAGTTAGTGATAGCGGTGATGGTGACCAGCCTTCTCGTCCCTTGCTCCCCAGAACCTGGGGAGGCTGTGCCCCCGACACCTGGAAGATGCTGAAGCTGGCGGAGCAGTGCCTGGAGAGGGCCCAGTCAACAGCTGCCAAGCTCGGTAGGTCTCATCTGTGGCACATGAACTCCCTAGTTCCCCAGCAGAAAGCCACCAGGGCACCACCCCACAAGAGTCTGCATTTACTAGGTGTATCGTGGGCCTGTGCTGACTCAGCATGCATGTCTTGCAGGGAAAACACACCTGAAGTCAGCCATGCCCGTGGCAACGCCTGTCCCCACAACTACCAGCCGACACCGCAGGGTGTATTCAGATGAAGGGGGGAAGCTCTCTCCTTTTCTGCCGCCCGAAATCTTCCAGAAGCTTCAGGTGGTGGAGTCACAAAGCTCTAAGAAGTAAGATAAGACATGATACCTGGGTTCAGAATCAAGTGAAGTAACCACAGTAAATTTAGTTAAAACAGGTCTCAGAATGTAAATGTCTTAGTGCCTGACAGAAAGAAATACAAGTCCTCTTTGGAAAAGAGTGCCTTCACCTTTCATAAAATGAGTGGCACAAAGTTCAACGTAGCGAAGCAAGAGAGGAGGAAAAAAAAAAACGACTATGAGGGAACGGTAGTTGAAACAGTTGTCAGACACATTTTAAAATAATCACGTTTTCCATATTTAGAAAAAGTGTAAGCAAATTTCAGAATACGTGCAGGTAAATGTAAACTATACAACCTAGCCACCAAATAGAAATAAATTGAAAATAATAAAAGTATTTTTAAATGAATTTAAAACAATAACATTTTGCAGTAGAAATTCACAATGCACATAAAAATGAGTAGACGTGCTCATAACAGTAGACACAGCTGAAGAGAATATTAGTCAACTAGACAGCAGTTTAAAGAACACACAGAATGCTTATAGGATGGGGGAAAAATGAACTTGGAACAAGATAGAAAGTTTAATGGGGGGGGCTAGGGATTAAATCTCAGTGCTATCAGGCTATCACCACCGCAGCCTGAGTTAGATCCCTGCCCAGTGAGCTGACCCACAGGGCCCAGCAGACCTCTCCTATCTCCCCGCTGCTCCCCTCAGCAGTGTGTGTCAGTGGATCCGCCTGTCCTGCTCCCCACTCTGTCTCTGGCCGGTCCTCTCACCCCCCACACCTTTGGCCTGCACCCCAGTTCTATACAAAAATAAATAAATCTTTAAAAAGGAAAAATAAGGTTCAATGAGGTTGTTAAAGTTCTGCAGAGGAAACAGCCATGGTAGACAGAGGCACCGTTAGAAGAGATGGCCATAGACCATTTTCTAGAGCTGATGAAGCCACCTAGACAGAAGCTAGAGCCCACCGAGCCATGAGTGGGAGGAAGGACTCTGGAGGGGCTGCTGCCAGGTGTGGACCACTGCCACCAGGGATTCTGCTCCCGCCTCAGTGTAGCTGTTGGGCAGTAGGGCAGGGCTTCCATCCAGGACAAACTCCCCTGCTCAGTCCTGTGCGAGGAGGTCGCCTCTCCCACCCCTTAAGGCCATAAGGCCTGTTGGACAGGAAGCTCCATGGCAGACAGCTGTGGGACTGTCATGGTGTAAGGTCCACTATTTCGGGGTTGGAAGGAAGCTGTTTAGTGCAATGCTGCCCTTAAAAACTTCCATGTTTGGGCCTCCCTGGTGGTGCAGCGGGTTGAACGCAGCGCTGTGAAGCTGTCCACAGTCTCTGCAGCGTGGGTTCGATTCCTGGCCGGCCAGGGAGAATCCCACATGGCACAGCAGACCTCTCCTGCCTCGCCTGCTGCTCCCCTCAGCAGTGTTTTCCGTTGTCTACCTGTTCTGCTCCCTGCTATCTCTGGTGAATTCTCTCGCCCCCCTGCGTCTCTGGCCTGTACCCCAGTTCTTGTTTAAATAAATAAATCTTAAAAAAAAAAAAAAAAGTTCCACATTGTTGCCAAACAGGTATAACCCATTTTGCATAAAGGCCAGAAGTCCAGCCATAGCAGGCCCAGGCTTCAGCCAGGCAACAATGTCCAGCTCACTGCACCCAGACCGCCCCTCCTTTACGGTCCTGCCCCCAGCCTCATCACCTCACCTTTGGTCTCCAGGGGTCAGAGAGGCCCTCGGGTCACCTGAGCAGTCCTGGGCTTCCGGGGCCCTGGACAGCAGCTTGTCCCCCTTTTCCAGGGAATTGACACCCCTGGAGGAGGCCTCCGTTCAGAATCAGAAGCTGAAGGCTGCCTATGAGGCCCGGGTGGCACGTCTGGATCCCAGCCAGGCCATGCAGAAGACGTCCCTGGTCAGCTGGGCCGGGGGAGGGCTTGGGCTCAGTGGGCGAGGGGTGGGTCTTATTAGTCCCTCCTCCCCGCCCTCCCTAGACCCTGTCCCTGCAGCGGCAGATGATGGAGAACCTGGTGATCGCTAAAGCCCGGGAGGAGACAGTATCCTTCCTTCGGCCCTTGCTGTGGGTCCACCCGGAGGCCCGCCTCCCTTACGGCCTATGCACGGCGGCCCCCACCCCGTCTGTGGGCCCCCCCCTCCAGCCTTCAGGTGGGACCCGCCCCACCCCCTGGGGCCTGACCAGGGCAGTGGGGCCATCGCGCCCGCCTTGACTCTGCCGCCCCAGCTGCAGCGGAAGATGGAGGAGCGCCGGCTGCGGCTCCAGGAGGCCGCCAACAGGTGCGCCCCTGCTCGTCCCGTCTGTCGGGGGTGCTGGGCTGCTGGGGGGTGTCCGACCTACCCTGAGCGCCGGCCCGTCCCGCGCCCCAGGAGGTTCTGCAGCCAGGTGGCCCTGACCCCGGAGGAGCGGGAGCAGCGCGCGCTGTACGCGGCCATCCTCGAGTACGAGCAGGACCACGTGAGTCCACGGCGCCGGGTCACTTGCCGGGGCGGGGCCTGCTGCTCCCTGCTGGGTCTCTGTTAAGGCCCAGGAAGGGCAGTGCAGTGAGGCGCTGGCCTCCTTGGGGGCGCTCCTGTCGCGGGGGTCGGCTGTGGTGCCCTCCCGCAAAGACTCGTGTCCAGCAGGACTGGCCGAAGACCTGGAAGGCAAAACTCAAGAGGAGCCCAGGGGACCTGTCACTGGTGACCAGCCTGGTCTCCCACCTGCTCAGGTGCCCAGCTTGCTGCGAGGGGGCAGGGCGGGCAGGAAGGGAAGAAGACCTGGGGCGGGCACAGAGGGGCCTTGACCCTCTGGCACCAGGGGCGGGTGGGACATTGCCAGACTCTGGGAAGGACTGATGCTGCTCAGACCCCGCCAGGCGGGTGGGCGGCCGAGGCCCACGGGGGGTGCAGTGCCTCCAGCCGGCCCTGCCCGCCAGCTATGCCTGTGCCCGCAGTGTGCCCGACCACCCGATCGCTCAGCTCTTGCGGCGGCTGCAGTGCGCCGTGTACCGGGCGCTGTACCCCCTGGTGAGCAGCAGCTCCCCGCCTGCCTCGGCCCCAGGCAGCTGCTCCCTGCCCCCGGACACCGACGGGCTGCTGGCTCCTGGGAGCCGAAGACTCCGGCCCTCCCAGAGCCTCTACTGTATGCTTGCCCCTCCTGAGCCCAGCCCGGGC